GTAAGAAGTTGCCTGTAAAAACAGACTCGCCCTCAGGTGACCCTTGAAGAACAGGTGAAGACTTGCAATGTAATGTACTCCCACCTATAGTGTGGTGTAGCACTTTTCTAGTCTTACTGACCACTCGCAGTAATTTAGACTACAAGTCACATTTGTGTGTGATAAAAAATGATGAACAGACCGCATTAGAATCCATTCAAATGTTAGAAAATATTTTGTTTTCATATGGTACCTACTTCTTATGTGCCAGGAGCAGTTCCTTGTGGAGTGCATCGTGAGCCCTGGAAGCCTTCATGGGTTTTGAGTGCTCTACACAGGCGCCAGATTTGACTCCATTATCTGACACAGAAATGATAATTAAAAAAACAAAACAAAAGAAAAAATGTCAAATGAGTAGCTCAAAGGAATGACAGATGAAAATATCTAAACTCGCTCTGCACATGCAAACAGAGTAAAAGCATTCTAGTGTTACTGTCCATTTCACTTACTGTTACCCAAGTGGCTGTGTCTGCAGTATGTTTACAGTTTATTAATAATGTGTGGTGAAGCAAGGTCTTATTAAGTATTCCTCAGCTTTTCTTAACCCTTAAAATATTTAATGCTTATTGGAAGCTCATTTATAGTAAATCGATTGTGAATTTAAAAATGAGACTCACTCTAAAACAATCTGCATGTTTGTTTGTATTTAAAGGTTCCACAATTTTCTGTGAAAACACAAATGTATGTATGTTGTATCCTAGTGCCTTACCTCAATACTTCTCACAGCAAATGTGAAAGGAAGTTTCACCTTGAATGAATGCAAGTGCATGAAGCTAAATATCTCATCCTCCTAAATATTAGAAGGTGATATTTGTGACTTTCCAGTGTGACTTGTTTTCTTTCATCTGGAAGTAACACTAAACCATACACCCCAGCTGTTCTCTCACTGCATCAAGTTTGTTGTAGTGGTCAGTTAAGTTATTCTGATAATGTAGTTTTGTAGTGGCTGAGCAAACATCTGATTCTTCACATCCAAAAATAATCAGGACCACAGACCAGAAGAGTTGCTCTGCTATAAAGCAATATTTATTTCAAATAAGCAGCATATGTACACTGTCCATGAATTCAAACTAAACTGAACATAAGAAATACAAAGATTAATCAATCATTCTTGTAAAGACCTAGCCCTCAGGATCTGAGGTCCATTTTGCTGAGGAAGGTTCCTAAGTTTGAAGAAGAAGTTCGGAAGCATCTGCACGGGGGCCGTAACAGAAGTTGTTTCAGTTCTCTAAATTGTAAGTAAAGGAGCTTTCTTTATTACCCCCTTAAGCGTGGGATATATTGGGAATATACTTTATGAAGGGAAAGGAGCAATTGTTACCAATCAGATCATCTGACCATTGCTGAAAACGATCAACAAAATTAAGAAAGTGGCCCATATCATGTAAATGTTAAAATTGCATTTTGCAGTAATACCATAACCTGCTAAAATGTTTTGATTTTTTAATCACAAATTGTTAAATCGAGTAAAAGAATTTCATTCTTGTTTAGTGGTTTCCTTGGAGAATGTAGATTTACATGAACTCTTCAAATTCAGATTATGTTGAAAGTGCATTCAGAGTTCTGCACAATTTAACTAGTAGGTTAATTAAAGTTTGTTGTGGTAGTGCAGTCAAAGGAGCTTGCAAAGAAAAGCGTCTGGACTTCTTTAAGTTACTTGAAGACGTTTCACCTCTCATCCGA